GATAGATAGATAGATAGATAGATAGATAGATAGATAGATAGATAGATGGAAGAATTATAATTCCAGGAGAGAGATCATCCCCCATAAATGTCCTCAGTGAATCACTGCCAGCCTCAGTTTCCCCTCTGTTCAGATTCAGTGGCAGCTTCTCCTAGAGGGCTCACATAAATGGAAGTTTGCAACATCAGAGGTTTCTAATGTAATAAGATGGGTAATGAAAAGATTCTTCTTCTCTGAGCCTCCAGTGAGTCAGAGCTCTGTGCTTGGCTTTGCCCCAGGGAATACCGAGAAAATGAAATATCGTCTGTATCCTCATGACACCTAAACAATTCCATGGGTCAAAATTCAGCCAGAAGGGCAAACAGGCATCTCCAGTGAGGCTATGGACAGAGGAGAGCAAAGAAGTAGCCATCAGCGCAGCTTGATTAGTGGGGGCCTTGCCTCTTACCTGCTATTAAGGCTGCTATCCATCTGCTTTGTGGTGGGACATGTTTGTTTTGCCTGTATGAAAGATGCTGGCAACTGACAGAATGTCAGAAATCTGCTAGGATATTTGACTTCTATCAAAGCCTCAATAAGCTCTTCCACATCCTGACACCTGAATGAAGACACAAGTTCTCAAACTATTCTCTTTGGTAATAAAGATAAGCCAACTTTGAATCTCAGATTTGCTTTTTATGATCCATGCATGCAAGCATGTGTGTGTGTGTGTGTGTGTGTGTGTGTGTGTGTGTGTGTGTGTGTGTATGTGTATGTGTGTGTGTGTATGCTTCTTCCCTTTTGGCCCTTTGCCTTCATAAGAAAAAAAGATATTGGATTACACTGGGCTTTCACATTGCAGACTCTGGCTGTGACTATGCAGACACAGCCTCGGATTCTGTGATGTGCTCTTGGCTGTTGATTAATGCCCAAGGAAGTGAGAAATGGGCCACCAAACTCAAAACGTGGACCGGGAGCTTATTCTTCCTTCCGCCTCTCGATTCTTGTCCCCACATCCCTGAATTTGTACAAACCATCAGTTTTACTCAGCTCATCAGTATTCTCCTCTTGCCACACATCACCCCTGAGAGGAAACAGCTCCAGGAAAGCTCCATCCTCCTAGCCCTCGAGTTGTGTAGGAAACAGGGATGCCCTCCTACTGCCACATCCCATCATGGAAGACGCAATAAAGGGAGAGCAGCAGAGTGGATTTAGGGGCTAGTCTATCCAGTCAACACACAAGGGTATCTCAAAAGGTCATCTGGACCAGCCTCTATCTGCATACACAATAGCACAAGAGGCCTGCGAGACCAAGGACAGGCTATTCTTCTCATTAAGATCTCTGGAAGACGGCTGCAGGTAGGCACTGTTCTGGTCCACACTCCACTCTGTAAGTCAGGAGTGGCCATGTCAGTGGCTTTTTTCTACATCAGAAGAAGCCTCTTTTGTGGGCCAGAGAAAAGGAGTCAATGGCCTACCTGACTACCTGTGGCAGCTGCCCAGTGCCCTTTGCCTCAGCACCATCTCCATGATGGCAAAATCAATGAGTTCAGGTACCAGGAGCTCCTACAGGACCACACTACCACAAACCTTAAAATAGGCATCTCTTATTTTTAAATCTCTAAAGGCAGCTTAGGTCAGATAATTGAAACAGGAGCAGGGACTGTTTTCAGAGCTGTCAGCATCACTGTTTGTTTGTTTGCTTGTTTGTTTATTTGTTTGTTTGAAATATCAGAGGAACTCCTTTAAATTGTATATTTTGTGCAACTGGAGATCGTGTGCATTTCTGGAGGAGATTAAGACCTTAAGCGTACAGTGGGTGATAGATCCTTGTAACAACACTGAAGAGTCTGGAGCAAAAGGAATATTATCATGATTTGGAGGCCAGCCTGGGCTAACAGTAAGACCACCTCTCAAACAAGCAATCAAAGGCTGGAGAGTTGGCTCAGCAGTTAAGGGCACTTGTTGCTCTTGCAGAGGACTCAGATCCGATTCCCACTACCCAAATGGTGGCTCACAACCATCTCAACTCCAGCTCCAGAGGACCCCATGCCATCCCCCAGCCTCCACAGGCATCAGGCATAAATGTAACACACAGGTGTACATGTGGCTAAAGTACTCACACACACATTCACAAAAATAACATAACAATTTTTTAAAAAAGAAAAGACAATCAAAAACCTTAATCTTCTCCAAAAAAGTACAAATAAAAAGACTTGAAGAGCCCAACTTTAGGTTGAAGAACTTGCACAGTAATCTCCTTGCATGGCTCCTGGTTCCTCACCCCTTAATCAAACTACCACTGTGATTATCAAAAGCAGAAATGAGGAAGCCTGAGATATGGCTTCTGGACTAGAAGAAATGGGTATCAGGTGTCTCCTTACAACTCAGCAGTCACTGTCCTGTCCCTTGCCTCATGTCACTAGCATATGACTAACTTTCTAATCCACTGTTTTCTCATGTGTCCACAGAGAGCAGTTATGCCTCTCTCAGAGACCTGCTAAAGAAGAATAAAAGAAAATAAGCAAGCTGGGTGTGATGTGTTATGCCTGTAATCCAAGCACTGGGGAGGCAAGGCCAGAGGATTTTGGAGTTTGGGGCATTCTTGGTCTATATAGTGAGCTCAAGGCCAGTGTGAGCTACACAGCAAGACCCAGTCAAAAAGAAAAAAGAAAGAGGGGGAGGGGAGGGAAATAAGTAAAGATTCGACTATCAGCAGGAGCTGGGCAAATGTGGGTCCCTTCCCATTAGCAGTAACTTGGGCCCCAAAATGAGCCATTTAAAAGAGAGTCCGAGCTATAACATCCACTCTGTCCCCTATTTTGCTCCTGTAGGAACAGCAACTCTTCTATAGCACTGGAACTGGGAAATCCAATAATGGAGTTCAACTCCAATTCACAGTTCCACCCCTCAATAGTATATGTACTTGGAAAAGGGGATCAACTTCCCTTATAGCCCAGATCCCATCCTCAAAACAGAAATCAAAATGAGACCGAGTCATGAGAAAAAGCAACGTGAACTTAGCACACAGTCTAGTATCTAAGTGTTGGGAGACAGAAAATCTTGAGTTCAAAACCAACCTGAAGACCTTGTTTCCAAAAAAAACTAACAAGAAAATTCTTCCCTGGTTTGACTTTTATTTTGTCCTTTTTATAATTACCCACCTCAGTGTGAACACAAGGCAATACCAGAAAAGAGCCAACAGACAACAATGTCCCCCAAGCCCCCTCCCCCAGATTTGGCCATCTGTTTGCCCTCACTCTCTACTCCGAGAGAGCCAACTAGTTCTCTCACCTTTCCTTCCCTCCCTTCCTCAACTATCTCTTTAGTGACACCCCCAAGCCCCTACTTAAAATGTCAAGTTCGGACTGGAGTTGCTGATCAATTGGTAGAATATGTGTTTACCTGGAATGCATGAGTCCCTGGGTTCTATCCCCAGGATCAAATCAACCGACAATGGTGGTACATGCCTGTAATTCCAGCACTCCTGAGGTGCCATAGGAAAATCAAGAATTAAGTTATCTTTATGCTATATCGTGAGCTAGAAGGTAACCTGAGCTACATCATACTCTGACATTAAAAAAAAAAAAGAAGTCCAATTCATATTCCTCCATACCCTGGTTGCATTTCCCTGTCCTCAATTAATCTTCTCCTTAATTCCCATCACTAGCTGTCATGCTTCCGGTTTTGCTTGTTTGGTAAGCTCCCACTTGCAGGTCAGGAGTCTGGCTACCCCTCCAACTATGCCTAGAACAGAACCACTGTCTGGAGGTGGACATTAGCAACCCATTGAAGGAATGTGTGTAGGAATAAATGAACAAATGAATGAACAAATGAATGAATGATCAAACAGACGTTTCTAGGTTATATCAAGGCCAAAGCGGTTGCAAGGGGGGATCTAAGGTTTATACCTGGTCTCAGATGTGACTCAAGTCTCTGCCACCTGCCTAACTCAGGAATTTTCTTCTTTTTGTAGAAGCCTGTTTTGTAGAAGTTGCACATCCTTCTGAACCCATGGCTTGACTCTAGAAGCCCCCATTAGAGGTAAGCATCCCCACCCTACCTCTTAACTGAAGCGTGAACAGGAGGGAAAATAATCCCAGAGGGCCCCCTGGGGTGTATGAACTGGGATGCCCACACCCGGCTCCCCTGCTCGGTTCCCGGCCCCATCCCAGCAGAGGGAGCGGTGCCGGGCGCGGCTGGTCACCCGGCTGGTGCTGGCGTCGGGGCTGCGCTCCTTGGCTGGACCCGCATTGCCCCCTAGTGCCGCACAGAGTCAGGGCGCCCGGGCTTCCCCGCCTGATGTCACAGCCGTGCAGTCAGCCCAGAGGCGGCTCATTGAAAGCAGACCCTCCTCGCAATCGCTGGGCGGAGAAGGCACCGCGGTCCGCAGACCCGCCGCGGGCCGGGCACAGCCGGGCTCCCCCGGCCCCGCGCCCGCTCCTCCCCGCGCTCCCGCGCCAGCCCGGCCAGGCGCGCCTGACGTGGACCATTAAACTTGGAGCTGCCGCCTCGTCCCCTCTCTCCTCCTCCTCCTCCCTCTGACAGGCGAGCGAGCCGCTGGGTGCAGGCAGGCGACGTGCTGCCCGGCTAGGCTGCCCGGGGGAGATGACTTCTCGCCAGGAGGACGCCTCTGGAAAGAAGACCACAGAGGGAGCAAAGTTTCAGGGCAGCTGAGGAGCCTTGGTCGCAGCCCTTCCGAGCCCAATCTCCTCCCTGGCTATGGAGGGCGGACTTTAAAATGAATTCCGATCTGGACACCGGCCACAACACATCAGCACCTGCCCACTGGGGAGAGTTGAAAGATGCCAACTTCACTGGCCCCAACCAGACCTCGAGCAACTCCACACTGCCCCAGCTGGACGTCACCAGGGCCATCTCTGTGGGCCTGGTGCTGGGCGCCTTCATCCTCTTTGCCATCGTGGGCAACATCTTGGTCATCCTGTCGGTGGCCTGCAACCGGCACCTGCGGACGCCCACCAACTACTTCATTGTCAACCTGGCCATTGCTGACCTGCTGTTGAGCTTCACAGTCCTGCCCTTCTCCGCTACCCTGGAAGTGCTCGGCTACTGGGTGCTGGGGCGCATCTTCTGTGACATCTGGGCAGCGGTAGATGTCCTGTGCTGCACGGCCTCCATCCTGAGCCTATGCGCCATCTCCATCGATCGCTACATTGGGGTGCGATACTCTCTGCAGTATCCCACGCTGGTCACCCGCAGGAAGGCCATCTTGGCGCTCCTCAGTGTGTGGGTCTTGTCCACTGTCATCTCCATCGGGCCTCTCCTGGGATGGAAAGAACCTGCGCCCAATGATGACAAAGAATGCGGGGTCACAGAAGAACCCTTCTACGCCCTCTTTTCCTCCCTGGGCTCCTTCTACATCCCACTCGCGGTCATCTTGGTCATGTACTGCCGGGTCTACATCGTGGCCAAGAGGACCACCAAGAATCTGGAGGCGGGAGTCATGAAGGAAATGTCCAACTCCAAGGAGCTGACCCTGAGGATCCACTCCAAGAACTTTCATGAGGACACCCTCAGCAGTACCAAGGCCAAGGGCCACAACCCCAGGAGTTCCATAGCTGTCAAACTTTTTAAGTTCTCCAGGGAAAAGAAAGCAGCCAAAACCTTGGGCATTGTAGTCGGAATGTTCATCTTATGTTGGCTCCCCTTCTTCATCGCTCTCCCGCTTGGTAAGTTGGGGACTGGCAGAGGGGAGATAGACCTTTTCCTACCTTGGTTTTCCTGATGATCTCACCCTAAAGTTTTTCTGTGGGTTTGGTTATTTTTTTTATGCCATCAGTGTGTGTTTGGAGATTGGATAATACTATTTGTTCTGCAAGAGCTTTGCAGATTGGGGAACTGGCTAAGAACCAACTCAGGTGTTGGTGAAGAAAAAAAAAGCTAAGATACTAGGCACTTGAAATAGAAGCACAGGAGGAGAATCTGGGATGTGGAATGACTCAGTCACTGGCCTCAGTTTAATAATTAAAAAGGACACTGGGCTCCAACATCACGCCAGTGTTATTTCGGTAGTAACGATGTATCTGAGAAGGCAGCGTCACTAACGCAGCATACCAAATAGTTTGTAGTTACTGCAGACGCGGCATTGGGGAAGCAGGGAGGCGGCTCCTACAGAGAGAGGCAGTGTTCATTCAATATTTGCAGGGACCACGTTTCTCAGCCTTGCAGAGGCTGCGGTCTCCCCCTCCACCCTCCCTGCTGGCTCTCCCCTTTCTGCACTGTCGTTCTTACCAGATAATAGGAGCATCTTACAGCCACACAGCTTCCAAGGGCCTTTAAGTTTCTGAAGCTTGGGATTTGAAAGAGAAACATTCTTCAGCTTTCACACCCAAAATGCTCCCAATTCTGTCGATTTATGAAATGTTCAGAATGTAATTATAGCTGACCCTCACCTTCAGCGATAAGATGCCAAACCCAGGCAAGATGAAACTCAATGCCTCCCACCCCCCCCCCACACACACACACACACACACAAATGTGTCTATCTTGTTTGGCTTTGTGGTCCTGATAAGTGAATTGTTCAAACGGCTGCCTGATTCCTGCTGGGGGGTGGGAGGAACAAGGTCTGGCTAAATGGTAAACAGAGAGGAAGGTGCAGTGACACCCTGTTTACCTAGCTTAAGAAATCCTTGTCCCTTCTCTGGTTCATTGATCTACTTTGATTTCTTCTCCTATCCCTGATGGGAACCGGAGGGAAATGAATGGAAGGTTGTGCTTGGGGCATGCTATCAGAAGAGGGGGACACTGCTGAATACCACAGAACTCATATACCAGTCATACCTGTAGGGTCTCAGAGGTAGCCAAATCCCTCCAGCAGCCCTGACTCCAAAGTCACACTGCTTCTGAGAGGAAAAAGATGAATGAAAAGGAAGTAAATATTTACCAAGAGTTTTCTTTTTTTTTTTAAGGAAAAAAAGTCTATCCAACATACTGTCTGTGTGATCTTTCCTAAGGAAGTCTGGCAGACTACTACCATTCAGAAATATTTTTTCCAATGGTGTTAAATAGAAAGAGCTTAAAATTCTGCCCCAGCAGGGATTGCATCCCACTGCAGAGGAGAATGATTCGCCTTCTCAAGGTCTTGGGACCTTTAGCAGTCTTGTTCTGTTAACAGTGGGTGACAGCTTGTACTGTCCTGGACCATCACAAAGATTATCGTTCTGTGGAGGTGTGATTTGGTCTCTTATCAGCTGTATGACCTTGAGGTCAGCACAGCTTCTGTGTGAGCCTCGGTTTCTTCATCTACAAAAGGGACTCAATAGTGTTCACTCCAAGGAGTTGTGTCAATGTAAGGAGAAGACAGTGTAGAGTTCGAACTATGGCACGTAGTTAATCAAAATTAGGTGTGAGTACTCTAAACCAAGCCCCACTCACTCTACTGGAGGTAGCAGTGAGTTTCCTCTGTTTACTCTTGCCAATCCAGCACCTGTTAACTTCCTCCCAGACCTACCCACCAACATACAGGGACTATGGCCAGAGGATGTTTAAGACGAAAAATAGCTCAGTCACCATCAGAAATCATCATAGGCACAATCCTTGGCTCTGAGATTCAAGGGAAATTAAAAGCTTCCAACAGGTTGGAAAGAAGAGACTCAGGTGGTACAGGCTACTATGTTCTACTTTGATCTTGGCCATAAGTTAGCTTTGTGACCCTGGGCTTATTTCTGTGCCTCTCTGGGCTTCAGATCTCATGTATGGACAAATGTACTGAATACAATGAGCACCTGAGAAACTCCATAGTAACATAGTCCCCTGGGCCAAACTTACAGAAGCTCTGATAAAGTAAATCAGACGGATCCATAGTCTACATGTTTAATCAGACCCCAGGAGACCTTGAAGGCGTGGATCACAACTGAAACTTTGAAAGTCATTGGTCAGAGCACCCATCAGCCCCCTTTAGAGCCCAGCATCCTTAAATAGTGTTAGTTTGGATCTTCCCCAGCTACCAGTGGTGTGAGGTAGCATGGCTTCTCCCTATTTCAAGTTTTCAAGCCTGCCTTCAGGGCCTTCTTTGGCTTTTTGCTCATGCTTGTTGAGTCCCTGTCCTAGTCTCTGGGGTCCTTCTTATCCATGTAATAGCAGTGAAAGGTCATCCGTGTCCCCAGCCCGTGGTGTTCTCAGAGCTTCCTTCTCCTCTCCTACCAATGGAAACTATGATAATCTACACCACAATCACCTGGGAACCCTCCAATATGTTGCCCCTGAACGAGCCCAATGAGCATCCTTCTTCCATGGAAGCCAACAGATGAGGTGATCTATATAGGTGAGCTGTGAGTTTTCAACGACTGCAGAAAGATAGTCAAGAACTCAGTCAGAAGGTACACAATCGATGCTTGCTTTCTTAATGGTTTATGAACACCAGGGCAAGATGAAGCTGTGGTTCTTCCAGGTAGCCACATCTGGTGAGAAGTAGTATGTTAGGCAATAGGAGCTTTTTTTCTTTGGCATCTGAAGATTCCAAATTCTAAATTTTCCATCAAGGACTTCTTACTCAGAGAAGGCAGAAGCAGATGTGCAGAAGGCTATGCTTGACAAGCAGGGAAGTGTAGGTAGGAGTATCTTCCAACCCAGCTAGACTCTCAGGTGCCTGGGTGCCATGAGATTTCCATAGCTGTGTTTGTTTTCTCCATAGGAGAGAAGGGTTGGGATTCCTTCTAGAAGGAGGGAAAATAGACATGGCCCTACAGGACCCTGCTCTGCGGCCCCATTTGTTTTTCTTCCTCCCTTATTTTTATTTTTGGGAGTAGGGTTGGGCCACCTGCAGTGAGGGCTCCTGTGGAGCAGGAGGGCCCCCCCACCTGTACTACCCCCACTCGTCTCTCTCCACCCTTTCCCTGTGACCTCAGACTAAGTTGCACCAGGGACCAGTGCTCACTTACTCAGCATCAGAGATGCATGATCATCAAACAAGTACCTCTTTCTTTGGCCCCTGGAAATGAGCCTAGGAGAGACAGAGAATCTGGACTAGAATATAGAAGGATTTCTATCTAATGGACCATACATGATGTCTAAGAGAACCTCCAGCTGCTTGGTATGACAATGAAGACCAGCTCCCAGCAGAGGGGAAACAGTCTGGTCAAGTGGCAGGACTCCTGAGGGAGTGTACATTTCAGTACGGGATGTGAGGAGGGGCGGTAGGAAGTGCCAGGCAGCCAACAAGCAGCTGAGACTAGAGAGCTGTTTAGAAAACACTGGAAACTTGCCTTGCTCCAAATCTTTCTTCCGCCTTTTAAAATGCTGAAAGGCACTAGGAAGCCATTATTGAACTAACTGCTCTCCCCTCTAAATAAATGAAGGTCAGTTTCAAAGAAACAGTTGTGCTCCATATAGTACTGAACCGAATAGCAACTGATTGGGCTCTCTTCTCATTCAAATGGGGGCTGAGGAATTTCCACCCATTATGAGTGCAAGTGAGTATGAGGGTCTCAGACCTAGAACAGAGTCACCCCCACAAATGTATGTGGATTCTCCAACTCAGCCTTTGAGATTCCTTAAAGGAAAACAATTGCTTTGAGAACTTGGTGAGGAGGGAAAAAAATAAAAACAGAATCTATCCCAAAAGAAGGGAATATTACTAAGGTAACATACTTTTAGCCATGTATTAAATATTTAACCAAAGACTTCTTAAAGTGCCTACTATGTCCTTGGTTCTGTACTAGAAGCTGGATTGTTGAACTAAAACTAAACATGGTCCCTATGTGCCTACTCAACATATGGTTATTGAATACATACTTTGTATAGATATTCCATTGGGCTTCCTATAACATTACCCCCCAATAACCCTGGCAGAGATGCAGTGTATGGTAACTGCTACCTCTTCATAGATGAATATACCGAAGCTCAATACAGTTAGATTCTTACCCAGGGTCACACAACATGTCAGTGATAGGGTCAAGGACTGAGTCCATCTCTGTTAGAAAAGACCATACACTGCACCTGGCCCTTTCTGTTCACTGGCGGCAACTGGCTATCATTGTAAATGTTCTCCAGGAAACTGTAAACCACCCTGTCACCACCCTGTCAGAAGACAGGAAGGACAAAGTCATTGTGAAATCCTGTCCATCCCCGATATGAGGGAAAGAAAAATTCCAGCTGATGGATGTGTCAGAGCAGACCATCCATGTTCAAACTTAAAGCTAGATTTTCTCCAATCCTACTGCATTGTGGGTGCTGAGCATCCCTAGGAACAAGGCTCTTGCCCATCAGTCAGCTAAACTGAAGGAAAAGGTGAAGGAAACCTGCCTTCCTCCTAGGGCTGTGGGTCTCATCTTTAACCGAGCATGTGTTCACTAAATAAATATGAATTTACCACATGGATACTGTGTACAGGAATTTTCCTAGAGAAACTATGGTGGGGAAATTAATTAAGCACGGAATTTACTTCTATTGAGGTAAACAGGTATTTGGAAAAAAACACAAAAAGAAATACAAATACATCGGTGATGAGAGACTAGAATTATCTAATAGGGATCAGTATATCATGAGGTCCCAGCGGAGTAATATGCAGGCAGAAGGCTGAACAGTACAGTTTAGAGTAGCTACTTTGGTAATCTTGGTAGGAGAGAGATCCATGCAGCAGGAAGGTCTCCTGTAGTAGGGAATGATGGTGAACTCCTAGAGTTTAGGATGAGAACAGGCCTGGGTAAGACAGACTGTAGACATGGACAGA